TGTTTTAAATTCGACTTGTGTTAAGAAAGGCAGAGGTAGACCTAGGAAGACTTGGGCTTATTGTATTAAAAATGATCTTAATGTACTAGAACTAAATGAAAATATGACACTAAATAGGACGCAATGGAGAAAAAGGATTCATGTAGCCGACCCCACGCAGTGGGATTAAGGCTTTGTTGTTGTTGTTGTATTGCAATAAGCTATAAATTATTGATATGCATGCTCTAGTTTGAGAAGGAATATTATCATATAAAAGTTATAAACTGGAAATATGATTTATCATAAAAATACATGAATATGTCTTATTTTCAACAGTATTAAATAAATTGCTATAAGAGAAAATAAAATGAAAATAAAATAATCTCCAAATGATCAAAAGTTATTTGAGTTATCAGAGATTCATAAATTAATCCATAATAATGTAATAATACACATCAGAAACAACCAAGGCAAACAAACAATAACTGGATACTAAACATCTAGCTTTTAGCATTTAGAAAAACATCTTGAAATCACCAAGCATCGAAAGATACTACAAATTATGCTGTATACTGTAAATACGATAGAGTCATTTTGTGAATTAATTCAAATAGTCCTCAAAGATTCTAGAGGTTCCTAATCATCCTCACTATCTTAAGAAAATAATAAGATCCAATAATAGATTGCTGGAATTACTAGAAAATGTAAATTATAAGTAGCCCACCACACATGATAAGACAAATTACTGAGTGCCAACCATTATAACACATAGCATATCTATTCTAAACCATCTCCAAATAAAATTTCAGAGGTCATTGCAATTTCTACATGGACAAACTTTCAAAAAATGAGAAAGCAAACACCATGAAGCAAAATGTTATCAACATCTCGATCACTTATGATAATGATTAGAAACACCATGAATACACAGGTTCTCATCATAGATATTACAGCAAAAGGAAAAATTAAGAAATTAAAGCCCGGCGTAACAAAATTTTAAGTCCACGGCAGGCTAATGCATGCATGTGTAATTTTCGAGGTGAAGGTAGAAAATAATAAAATGTTGATCACATTCTTTAAAACTAAAAAGAGAATCAGTAAGGTAAATTATAGTGCCAATGTTATAGACATGGGCATTAGCAGTGGAAGTTTCCTATTCCTCCTAACCGTGAGAGGTAGAAGATGAATGGATTTCAAGTATTATTAGGGTTTAGGAAGTTTTAGTTTGCTCACAGACGATGACATCAATACCTACCCAGGATAACATTTGCATTAATGGCGGTGTTTCAAGTCCTAAGCATTGGAGATTCGAGCGTTCACATAATTAGCATCTCACTAAACTTGCTAGCAGGCAATAACTTCTGCTTTGATTAACTTTTAAGTTTTAGATTTTGTCTCCCAGAAATATACGCGCAATAAATAACAAAGATTCCTTTTATGCAAGAAATCGACAATAATTATTTGGTGCCAATTGCTACCAGATTCATATGTGGACCTAGAAAGCCTTTCATCAGAAGCACAACCAACAGGCTTTTCTAAAATCAATTGGGAGTCATAAGAAAGTGGAACCCACAAGCGCTACTTGCACTGTTATGATGCGACAAAAAATTTCCCTTTTTAACTTGAGAGATTCCATCCATTCTTAAAAATCAATGATTTTGTATTCTTAAGCCTTTCAAGATATACCATTATAGATTCTTAATTGTTTAACTTATGATTTAACATACTAAGAAACAGCTTGTCAAAATGATTGTATCTTTCACCTCCAACAAGATCAATAAACATGTAAGATTTTAATCTAAAACCAATCTAATTTATTCAGAACCTCTGACCACTATCCTTCTCCTAAGAACCGGACCTAATCCTTAATATCCCATGAAACATAATCTAATCTAACTCACGAAAGAACAAGTAATGACCATGCAGACATATGGGCGTCAACAGATCTAGGAGCGTTAAATGAGCTAGGCTACTCATTTATCCCAACAGAAATGACCCTAATAGTCATGGTTTTGAATGTTCCAACCTTAGTGGTGATAATGAAGCATCTCAACTTAGAGCATTGATATATGAAATCAGCAAAGTAATAAAGATATAAAGATAATGCTCATCTCCTCTCTTTCCCACTCTCCATCTCACTTGTAAACACACGTATAATATAATTACCATCTTCATCTTCAAGTATCCCTAGGGCCAATATTAGTAAAAGAAATTATCTTTAACACTCTAGTACAAATAATATTTATTCATATCTGCCCCTTAAAATAAGAAATTAAGACAGATTTGATTGAATATTTCTTTGGAAAATGACCAATCTAACTTATTTTGAGATGCAACCTCAGGGGCAAAGTCTGCAGCAGGCAATGGAAACAAAAGAAAATAGCTGAGGACCATAAAATTTCAGCTCTCTATCTCAAATCATGTTCTCCTGGATATCTAAAAGAAAGTGTCAGATACATGAAGGTTTGATGGTAGATCAACAGCATAAAAAAGCTGAGGGAATCTAAAAAGGAAATCGTAGGCAGTGAAGAGAAAAAGGTGCTTAAGGAGATAATGAAGATTTTTATTGGTACCACAATTGTGGTGCATTAAATGGTCTTCCAAAGCTAGCTTTTTAATCCATTCAGTGAGATGCCAAGGTGATAAAGTGACACTAAAGATCATGTAGGTGGACTTCAATTAACTGATACCAACCACAAGGCCAAATTCCCAAGGTTACCTGTAATGCATAGTTCAGGATCATATTTACCTCAGCTCAACAAAGAAAAATAGATTGAGGCTTGGGCAAGTCATACACCTCAGATTAGATTGAGGTGTACACCTCATTCGTTTATTTTCATTTTTATATATATTTTTTTCTTTTTTTTAAAAAAAAAGCCCAAGGGATAATATATTAAAGAGAAAATGATACAGATAGATTGTATGCTTCTAGTTCTCGGAATTGAGCCGGCTAATAAATTTGTAAGGTGAGTACCATTGTCCTAAAAAAAAAGAGAGGGTACATATAAAAAACCAAAACCACCAGGGCTAGGGACGACCCAATTTAGTCTTGCCTCTGCATCTAATTCTCGGAAGGTAGTCAGCTAACAAATTGGTGAGGTTCGTACCATTACCTGAAGTGACCAAAATATCATCCAGTAAATTCCTGAGTTCAAGTAGATCTTCATTCTTCTTCTTCCTCCTGGAAGTGTAAACTTGTCATTCCTCATTCGAAGATTGATCATTCGGATGAGGTGGTAAAATTGTAGCCGAAGGATCGCCAACCGT